GAAATGAATTATTAATTTCGTAAACATTTATACATGCTATAGCCATGCTAGGCCGGGTTGTTGAAAGCCCAATCCAGCTAGCCCAAGATTAGCGAGAATTATTATTTCAGTTGTATTTTTTTCGGTGAGCTTTTCAGTTCATATTGTTTGTCCTTTTAGTTTTGAGCTTGAGTTGTCTCAAACAACAACAACAGCAACTACCATTTTATTTTGCTTATGATATAAACTGCCAAAACATAAAGGGTGAAAATTACGGGTGGCAGCGTGGCCGAGTGGTTTAGGGCGCTGGTGTTGTAATCTGGAGGTCCCAGGTTCAAGGCCTCCACCCTGCCACTAGCACCATTTGTTTCTCGATAGTCCCGAGTTGANTATGATTTCCAGCAGAAAAGATTTGACTGTCTTTGAGGGGTGTTGGAAATTTGATGAAAGGCTCTCTCTCGTGTTTGATGTACATATCGTCTTATTCGGAAGAAAAACTTGGGAGAAGATGCAGAAATGAATTATTAATTTCGTAAACATTTATACATGCTATAGCCATGCTAGGCCGGGTTGTTGAAAGCCCGATCCAGCTAGCCCAAGATTAGCGAGAATTATTATTTCAGTTGTATTTTTTTCGGTGAGCGTTTCAGTTCATATTGTTTGTCCTTTTAGTTTTGAGCTTGAGTTATCTCAAACAACAACAACAACAACCGCCATTTTATTTTGCTTAATACATAGAATATGATATAAGAATATGATATAAACTGCCAAAACATAAAGGGTGAAAATTACGGGGGGAAGCGTGGCCGAGTGGTTTAGGGCGCTGGTGTTGTAATCTGGAGGTCCCAGGTTCAAGGCCTCCACCCTGCCACTAGCACCATTTGTTTCTCGATAGTCCCGAGTTGAAATCCTTGGTCACGCTTTGTAAACAGCCAACTGGTCTGCCTCCTGCCAGTTGGGATTTTTAACTATGTTGCGTTTATTTGAGATATTTGTTTCCTTTGTTTCACTGGCATGCCCGTAAACTAGCTAAGCTTAGTGCTTGTATAGCCAAGTGTATGACCACTATAAATAAGATTACATTTACATTTT